TGCTTTAACTCACTGCACCACCAGGGAGGGCCTATGAGTTCTTTTTAAAAGGCAGCCTCATGCAATGCTACAATCTGTGTTCTAGACACATGATAATATCTTGGAAAACATAGCATTCTGAGTTGTACAGCAAAATGAATCAATCAAAGAGGTGTTTCAACAATTCTTTATCATCAAGGTATTATCATAGGTACAGTCACAGACTTGGGAATGTTAAGAAGCAGTAGAAGAAATAAAGCAAAGAGCCAGAAGCAGGAAAGGATCGAGCGCCTCTTCATTCTTGTCTGTCAACACACCCCTGCTGGGGGTGTGAGCATCTGTGCACTGCTTCATGTCAGCAGGAGGCACTTGTCAAATATGATCCCATTTGATGGGCTTTTCTAGAAAGCTAGAAACTGAATCTAGAGATGAAATTCTACTTGCAAGGGAAGTATCACTTTGTGAAAGCACCCTCCCCTGTTTTCATATACATTTGTTCTCCTCAAACACCGTTATCTCGCAGTGGTGTATTACAACAGTAACTGTGGCCTGAAGACTATTTCTGACTCATTAGAATGACTAATGTAAATTTCTGAAATAAAATCACAAGACAGCCCGAAATCAAAGAGACACACTCATCAACACTGAGTGTCTACTAAGTTTTACACATTGCTCTAGGTGTTTCCTTTTAGAGTGTAGGTTCTTGCAGAGGACATGGACAATAAATACTAAGCTGAATAAACTCGTAAAATATGTAGGCTATTAAGGGTGACAAATGCTGCAAAAATGCTATCTGGCTAAAGGTGTCTTAGCAGGAGGCAGGCTGCGATTTTAAATTGTCACAGGCCCGTCTTACAAAGGTTGACACTTAAGAAAGACTCCAAAGAGAGTGTCCTGCCCTGGAGGGAGAGAGGGCAGGGTGTGCCTGGTCTGGCAGGGAAAGCCAGGGGGGCTGTGAGGCTGGGCTGGAGCAGGTGGGGGACACAGCAGATGGTGAGGGGCTCAGAGCAGCAACAGGGGTCAGTCAGATCAAGTCAACACTTGAGATACTTTTAAACCCTTTGGCTTTTACAGGAGGGCAATGGAGAGCCAGGGCCCAGTTTTGAGAAAAACAGTCTCATGATCCGACTTGGACTCCTATGCCTGGGTTTGAGCACGGGCTGTGAAGGGGAGGGGCAGACAGGAGAGCCCCCGTGGAGGCTGTGCCAGGTGAGCAGCAGAGGCAGATACCAGCATGACGGCAGTGGGTGCTGACAAGTACCCGCGATCTGGACATACGTTGAAGGCACGTGATTCATCTGTGACGGATAAGGTATGTGAGGTGTGATCATGAGAGAATTGAGAAATAGGGAGAGTGGTCAGGCAGACTCCAAGGTGTTCGGACTGAGCTAGCAAAAGTGCAAAATACCTTAACAAAAGTACCCAACTTGTTGCCGACAAATCAGCACAAAGTGAGACCCAGAGATGTGAGTGAGAAGGGGATGAGTTTGGTACGGCTGAGACAGAAAGGAACAGAAGATAAGGCTGGTTGGGAGTATCCTGTAGGTTAGGAAAAGTGCAAAAATGTTTATATTGATTCAAAATACTAAAAAAAATAGAAATTGAGAGAGAAAAAACTTATGTTAACACTATTAGGCTGAAATAAGACTGCTGTTTTTGTAGGTGAACAATGATTTTAAAAAATTGTCAATTTTATATGGCTCAACCTACTTGACACCAGGTCCTCTGTGCTTTACAAATATGAATGCATATAACAAGTTTGGGTGAGTTCTCCAGATAATGAGGTTTACATTACTATAGAACAGGAAATGAAGCAAGTCAAACTATATCTTAATACTAATGTATATAATAGTGACACCAATAACTTCTACCCAGGCCTTCACATGTCAAGCCTTCTCTGTCTGTGTGAACACACCTATACATGTACATTTATGCACAACACACCTCCAGTCCTTACACCGACCCAGCAGAGCAGGTTTTAGTGATCACACTTTACAGAGGGTAAGAACAGCAGGGTTCAGAGAGTTCAGAAGAGCAGAGTTCCTGCTGGCAGTGAGGAGGGCGCCTGGATTCACATGCAGGGGTGCAAGACTCCCCATCAAAGCTCCTTCTGCTGCAGTGGGATGCCAGCTCTGTAAGGACTGTGCTGGAGACAGCACAGAAGGGACAGCAGAGAGGTTCCCCGGTAGACCTGGTGGGCTGGACCACTCTTAAGAGACAAAATACATGTTGTACCCCCACGTTATGCTTGGAATAAGTATGGGAGCCATTAAAATGGCATATTCAGAATCTGACACTTCAGATTCCACCAGCCTATATTTTAACTTGCATGAACGATAAAATAACCTTTTCTTGGAAAGATCAGCCCATACGGGCAAATGGAACTATTAAACTGACAGCATAAGCAGGACAGTCTGTAGAGGCGGAGCTCAGCCTTTCCTTGTCTTGGTAGAAAATCAGTAAAACAGAACCCAAAATTGCTGAAAAAAAGGCAACTGGAGCAAGAACCAGGTCTGCTGACTTCGCCGGAGTCTGGCCTCTACTGTGCTGCTGGTGCTGACCTGCCTGGCTACCAACGTAGTCAAGACATTAAACCCCACTAGGACATGAGCTAATTTAAAAGCACATGTGAAAATCATCCTCTTAAACTGAGAATTCATACTATATCTTACTGGATACTCTAGACTTCTACAAGAAATAAGGAGAATTCACTGGCAGTAGTTCTCCACAGTGACTGACTACAGCAAGTTAGTCTCACTCATCGACTCTAAAGGGGTTACCCATTAGTGGTAATGGTGCCATTCGGTTTTTTTTTTTTTTAATGGTGGGAATTTCACAATCTCAATCAAAACTATAGCTGGAGGGTTACCTTGATCTTGTATCACACAGTCTGTGGTGACCAGGGGTGGAACCTGGCCTCTGGTGTTGGTGGCGTAAACTTGTCCTCCTCTGGCCGCTCTGTCACTCTCGATCACCTGGATCTGACAAGACACCAGAGCAAGTTAAGCCAAGACTCGTCCCAAAATTCTCTCCTTCCTGCTCGTGAGTCACAGTGCAAACATCAGACATTCTCTATCCTTTCAGTTCATTTCAGATCAAGCTCTCCTTGAGAGTCTACAGTGTCTTCAGCTCCACTTCTGTCTACTTTTGTAGGAAAGTACCTGTCACTTCTGAGACCGAGGGTTTCCCAGTTCTAAGCTGTGACCTTGATCCTTCAAAGTACTTTTGGCTCATTTTATTTACTGACACCAGAGATAAGCATTTTTAAAAGATTCTGGTAGAAAAAGAATAACCTTTTGAAAGAAAACATCTTCTTATAATAAAACCCTAAAGGGCTAAAAATAACTAAAATTTAAAATGTGCAATATATAAGTTAACTTTTTCCTTCATATCCCTTTTGACCTTCAGTTTGCGTTTCAAGCCCCTCCCCACACCACACCCATCCTCACTGAGACATGAGACCAATATTATTGTGTGTGCCCACGCTGGCTTTGTCATTATATAGACATCAGAAGGAATAAAAATCCCCACGTTTTGTTGACTAATTTGGGAGCATGTTTTAGTTCTCTATATGAACTGATGAGCTGATGATGAATACAAATATGCAATATTGTCTTACTGCTATAACTGTCGAGGGATGGCAAAAATGAGCTAAGATAATTATAATGATCTTCCTGCTTATCTTCACCATTCCTTCAAAGAGACAAGAGGTAAAATAGAAAAAAAAATGGAATAAATAAAAGGGAGAAGTGCCCAGACTGGAACATGTAGCTTTGACACATATATAGGTTTTTATATTTCTAGAGGAATTCTTAATAATATGGAACTGTCTTCCCCAAACTCTGAAATGTTACCTTCGTCATTCTCTCCTCCCATCTTACCCAGTCCAGACACCAGCTGGCAGTGATATCAGTGGTTTTATGCAACATCAGAGACAGATTTATTCTATCTTTAAATCTATACTTTTCTGTCCTTCTAATTTCACAGGACTTAAGTTATTATTGAGGACTTACATATTCTATGTACTTATTGTTCTCTCTCTCTTTCTGCACACACACACACAGTCATATATTCTCTATACTCCAAACATAAGTACTGTTTGACACAGATGAGGCCAGGTGTGAAGAGACATCAAAATGCTATTATTATATTCTTTGTTTCAACCACATAAAGTAATCTGGGTCATTCAAAATTGGTATACCTTTATATTTATAAATATTGGTTATAATCATTTCAACCACTGAAGTGTCAAAAATGAAAGCGAAGTAGAAGTAATGATAGTCCTACATTTAAAGTTTTTAAATAAAGAGAAAAAAAAAAGAAGTAATGATAATCTATATACTGAACATATCTTTTAATAGATTATATTCCAAAAGTTTACTTTTAAATTGCCAGTTTGTGGACCTCCCTAGTGGCTTAAGGGTTAAGTCTGAGCACTGTAACGAAGAAGGCCTAAAGTCTGGTGCCCCAGACCTCTCCTGTCTTGCCCACTGCTCCCCTTAGCAGTGTACTTCAGTAAATCCACTGGTTTTGCTCCCTACTCTGTCTCGGTCAAATCCTCTCACCCTTGCACTTCTAGACTACACCCCAGTTCTTCTACAAAATAAAGAGAGAGACAGATTGCCAGTTTGCAATTTAGAAGACACTACCTCCAAAGACACAATGCCACATGTGATGACTACAATTTTAATTCATCTACATCTTGCCTGGAGTACTGCAAAGATAGTACGAAATAGTTTCATAGTCCTAGTGATTAAAAAAAAAAAATGCCATAGTAATTTTTTATTTATCTCCAATGATGTTCTCAAAAACAGGCATGGGGGGAAAAGATCAGCAGAAATGTCAATAATTTTTAACTGTGATCAATTGTTAAAGTGCTCCCACTTGATGACAGTGATTCCTGATGGTGCCAAAGCTACCTGTGAACATATGGATTTCTTTCTCCCCCACAAAATATGCCACTTGAAATACCTCCACACTCTTTATGCCCCGAGTAGAATATTTTGGGTTTATGAAATCAGAGGAAGAGAAAAGGAGACCTATTTTCTCAGGGTGCAAGAACAAGGGTAAGGCGTGTGTGCATGTCTGAGGCAGTGAGTGGGCCTACAGGGGAACAGAAGAGTGCAACTTCTGAGTAAAACACCTGCAGACACAGGAGGAGGGAGGAAGGGTTTTAAGGGCGACATCAGTTTCGTCACTTTTAAAACAGAGATAAAACCAACACCCAAAGGAGTGGCTGAGAGCACTTGGCTCTGGCCAGACATGTAACAGGAGTTCAGTAATGAGATTTTATAATCTTTCTTTCCAGAAGGAAGAATCTATTTAGATAGTAAAAGCGTATTACTTTGGTAATAGAACATAAACAGGCACCATCTGGCATTGCTATTTCATTACTTTTAAGATAAAAATAATACTGATCTGCAATGTATGTATTTTAAGGATCACGAGTGAATCTCAGTACATGCAGCCTATTGCTTCTGCTGTTAACATCCATTCATTCAAGAAATACCATGAACACATACTGTAGACCAGGTCTGTTTTAATTGCTGGAGACATAGCAGGCTAAAATCCAAATCCTTGCCTTCCTGGAGCTCACGCCTTAGTGCGGAAGCAGGTACTACGTAAACAAACGTACAAATAAGGGCTATGGGTAAGGAGTGATATGAACAGGGGAGCCAGAGAAATTGGAAAGAGCAATGAGGACAGGAGGGAAACGAGGAAATGGGCCATCACTACCCCGTCACAGAGGAAGAAGCTCTAGGATAAGTCAGAAGCCTGGAGGCAGGCGTGTGCTTGGTGTGTTTTGGAATAATGGCTGAAGCAAAGGGTTGGAAAAGAGAGGTAAAAAGCCAGCTTAAAGGGAGGTGATGAGAGAGAGAGAGAGGGTGTGTGTGTGCCTGGGGGTGCACATGTACCCCAGCAGAGAAGCAGGGGTAGCAAATAATACAGGATCTTACTGGGTCATTATGAGAACTTCGGTTTTAACTGGAAGCACGCTGAGGGCTTTGTTCTTCGCCACAACAGAATGGGACCTGGGGCTGGGAGGGGGGACACTGCTGCTGCCTGGGACAGGAAGAGCAGGCTGCCCAGAGAGGAGTCTATGATAATCATCCATAGGGATGAATGCCAGTGGCTTTGACAGGATGAGCAGAAAGCACAGGACCAATAGAATTAGCCAAAGAACTAAATGGGAGATGTATGAGAGTGAATCAGGGAGGACTGAGAAACTGTAAGAGGAGGGTTGGAATCTGGATTTCCAGAAAAGCCCTGGACTAGGAAAGTGGACACGCTCACTTAAGTCATAGCAATGGATGGGAGTACCTAGGGGGCTTCTCAAACTCTGGGGTGCCTAAGAATCATGTAGCAGCTTGTTAAAATACAGCCCTCAGGGCCCCTCTCCTGAAGAATATGAGCCCGGAGGCCCGGGGTGGGGCCTGAGAGCACGAATCTCTAGGATGCCGCCAGCTGATGTGGGCGGTCTGCCCTGGGCTTTGTCACGCTGCAGGAGCGAGCCAGTACAGGAGCCCTCTATGCTCTCTGGTCGACCTTTCCTACTCCCGTGTACTGAACTGCCTTCAGAGACAAAAGTGAAGTGCATCAATTTATTACTCTTCCCAAGGACCTCGTATGCCCACCCAGTGGGGCAGGGAGGAACAAGCACCCTGCCTGCAGACACCCAGCTTTGCCGCCTGACTTGCCTTGGCCAAGGGCATGTGAGTGGCTAGCTCAGTGCCACATCGGGGCGCAGCTTTCAGAGCAAAGCAATAAACAAACCTCTGCAGTGGTAAGCAGAGCTGGGGGCCACTTGTCAAGCAGAAGAGCCGAGTAAGAGCTGAGCGGTACTGGTATTGAGAGCAATAATCCTCCAAAGGAAATCACTCTCACAGGCCGAGAACTAAGTCACAGTTCTAATTTTATTTTAAAAAATTGCTCCTTTAATACACAGACGCAATATACTTTGCCCTTTCACTCTCTATGGGTAATCGCCCTTGTTAAAAAAGGTCCTACTTGATACAAAGTGGCACACTTCATAGGATATACTTCTACTACTGATCTCTCATTAGGCATCAATCAATGCCATCCATACACACCAGTGTCATCAATACATGCTGCCACCTTCCTATGGATACCAAACACACACAGGCGGTTTCCCTCACAGGCACCCCTAAAATAGGCTGCAACCCACCCTGTGGACCCCTTACACACGTAGAGAGAAAGAAGCCTATCCCCAGGACGGGCATTATGGTCTGATGACATCGGACAAGAGGAATGTTAACCAGCATTTCTGAGGGCAGTGGGAGGAGGTGGGCCCTTGGTTGAGAGAGGCCATGGAGAGAGAGGGAAGACACTCACCGGGCTGGGGATGGAGTCGGGGTCCAGCTTCTTTGGGGGCTGTGGTGGGCCAGCCATCTGCGCAGGCCCTCCAGGGAAACCTCCTGGGTAGGAGAGCTGTGCACCCGCCATCTGGGGGCCATAGGTGCCTACTTAGAAAGAAATGTTTAAAGAAATGACTGTAGAATAGAATCCAAAGTCCCAGAGGCAAGGCAGACTGGCAACATGTCATCGGGGCAAGCCTGTGTGTATTTCATCTTATAAAGAAGGGAAGGAGTTAAGGGTGAATATCTAGGATTCGCCTTTTCTTTGTGCTGGCACTAACCAGAAACTGCCATTCTTTCAGAGTGAGTGAGAGAAACTTAGCAACAGAGACGAAAGTGAAAGTTGACTTTCAATGAAAGGGCCCCTAGGTAACCCAAGACCTCCCTCTGGGCCCCTCCAGCCTTACCTTGCTGCGGAGGCGGGGGATAACCAGAGCCCAGGGTCTGTCCAGGAAGAGGCGGGGGCTGGTACTGAGCATTGGGAGGCGGAGGCCCAGGGAGCGCTGAGGGAGGTAAGGGCGTGGCCCCAGCCCCGTTTAGTGTGGTGGGTGGTGGTGGGAGAACCTGAGATCCCGGCTGCAAAATGGATGGCTGAGGAGGTCGTGGAGGACCCTGGAATGATGCTGCTGGCAGAGGGCCAGGGGGGCCCTGAGTGGAGGGGACCACGCCTGAACCTGTGAGGGAAAGACCAGACCGCCTAAGTACCGCATGACTCTACTCTCCAACTTCTCCAAAGAACTCAGCCAGGGCACATGTCTTGCTGTTATAAAGCAAGAAGCCATCCTTGCAAATGAACCCTCAATCAGAAAGCGACACCAACACTATTTGGGGCATTTTATACAACTGGAGCATTTAAAAGTGTACATAAGTAACATTTATAATTTGAATAAGAAAAGTAGTGTGATAAGTTTTAATTCAGTTGCATTAACTTTACATTATACATGCCATTAATTCGGGGGGTTATATCTGATACAAAAATGTAGAGAAGGACACAGAAGAAAATGTTATTACATAACAAGCATTATTCAATGTGTAGTTATTCACATCCTCTCCTTGACTTGATCAAATAAGTACTGGAAGTAGATGCAAGTAGGGGTGGGGGAGGTGCACAGGCTACTAACTTCTTTTCAATTTTTTGGGAAATAACTGTAAAATCAGATTATTTTTTCCTTTCTTTATGTGAAACTGAGTTGCTTTGCTGGAGCCCTAACCATTGTAAAATCAGTAAAAGGTAGGAAATATCCTAACTAACTTGAAGGAATGGAACCATTTTTCTCCCAGATCACTGGCTGGTTATGCTGCTATTACGGTGGGGTCCCACAGTCCCACTGAGGACTGTCACTGCTTTCTCTCCTATTATGCTCCTTTCTGCTTCATGGCATGTGAGCTTGGACTCTTTCCATGACCTCAACCCAGGATCTAAATGCACTGTGAGACAAGAAACCACACAATTAGTTACCATCCTATTTCTTCAAATGATTTCACTGTCCTAATGTTTATTGGTGACATCAGTATTTTTTCTTCTTTATCACTTTAGTACTGAACTCAAGGTATTCTGTGGGTCCTTCAGTAATCTCGAAATAAACAGCAGCAGCATGATAAGGAAAAAAGAGTGCATCACAACCATCCCTAATATGGATGGTTTGTATAGAAGTGTCCCCAAAACTACTTTGTAGAATGCTGGTGTGCCAGGGTTATATCCATTTTGAAAATGAAGAAAACCTTTCTCATTAAAATACTCCTACCACAATGTAGCCACTGAACATCAAGGCTGGGGTTAGTACCGTAGCTGTTGATCTGCATAGCACTGAGCTGACTGCCCAGCTGGCTGACAGATGAAGTAGACGCAGGACTCGGGTACGATGACTGCGTAGGGGATGAGTAAGGTGCGTAGGACGGGCCTGCACTGTTGACAGGTGGAGGGCCTGGAAATCTGAGAGGACAGAAAGGAAGTTAAACAGAATCACAGTTCCATACACAAATGGCATGCCACAACATCAATAACTTGCAAAATTAAATAAGCCCCTCTAACAGGAAGTCCGGAGATGACTGATGTTACATGCTAGGTCTTTAATAACAACATGATCCCAGAGTACACCACGAAACATTACACTGTATCTAAATGCAACAGGCTAACCATGTGAAGGTGCTTAACAACAAATGCTAACCTCAATACAGTGCTGGCTTCGGAAATCAAGGTGGGGACCTGAGCCCGCCACAGCTTTGTCCATAGTGGGTTAATGATCACTAGCTAAATCTAGAAAACAAAATGTTTCAAGGATGTTACTTTTGTGACCATTCGTCTTATATTCTACCCAGTTTTTTAAAAAATGTTTCACCTGCTCTATAATTTCAATGAGCAAGACATTCCATACAAGCCAGTACTTGAAAGTAAACAGCCCAAGAAATAGTTTTAAAATCACTCATTTTTCTTAATCTAAAAAGCCCCTTGTGTTCTTCCTTTGGTTTAGTTTGAACATATTGTACACTTAATTTTCCTTGTTTTGCCTGAAACAGTGACAGCCATCTCAGCAGTTCTTATTATGTAATCCATCAAAGGAGGTAAGACTTCTCTTAGAGTCACATTATTACTTCTTACCAATTTTAAATAAAAATTAAATTTTCCCAGATGTGTACACTCTGATTTCAACTTCTCTGGAAACTAGAAATTACCTCTCTAGTGGCCCTGGCTCTTGCCTCATCTTTGCTGCCAGGAGAGGTTAGAGCTGAGGCTAGGAGAGGCCTGAGTTCCTGCATGGACAGCTTATTTGTGACAAAGGTGGGACCACCCTTTCCAGGGGTCTTGATGAGTACCCTCTCCAAAGCATGACGCCACATTTTCTCTTTATTTTCTTCCAGATCTTAAATGGAGTAATGACTGTAAATAAAAGTAACCTTCCAACTATTACTCTGATGACATGTTATAATATTTCAGAAAGATTAGCCCATACTTTGAGTAAAATGGGTAAGTGAACATGCACTTTTTCTCTGTAAAAGGGACAAGTAACCCTCCAACAGAGACAGAGCTATGCAGGGCTGTAAGACAGAATGAGTAAGATTTTAAGACAAAGACTTCCGGGAAGCAAAGCCATCCTCTCCTGCCAAAAGCAACAAAAGGACAAACATGGTTTTCTAAGTGTCCTTGACTTACAGAATTTTTGGAAAAAATGACTTAAGACTGGCAACATAAAAGTTAACTTCTTTTTTTTTATAAAGATTTATTTTTGTGCATCCAAGAACTAGGATGTAGGCCAGAAATGTAGGGGTGAGAGGATTCACCAGAGACGGAGTGGGGAACAGGACAGGCAGATCTGCTGAAACACACTGCTGAGGGGAGCAGTGGGCGAGACAGGAGAGGTCTGGGCTGCCATGGGGGCCAGCTCCCAGGCTGACTAGAGAATCAAACTCATGCTGCAGTGGCTGGTGATGGCTCGATAGTGCTGTCTTTAAACCCTGTGCCACCAAGGAGGCCCTCATAGACGTTAACATGTTAAAGTTTTCTTTAGATTTCCATTAGAACTAGGGGCAAAACGTATGCAAGACAGAATATAATTCCGTCTCACTCTTGATACATTTAAAAAAGTGTCATTTAGAAATTATTCCAAGAACTGTCTTCAATGTGTTTTATAAATGCACTGCTTCATAAAGAGATAGTGTTTTTTTATTATTTCAAAAATTACACTTGTCTTATTAAAAAAAGATCAGTCATGAAATATACACATGGAATAAGAACCAGGGGCCGGCAGTTTAGTGGCTGGCTGGGGTGGGGCGGAGAGGGGGAGGAGGTGGGGGGGAGTGTCATTTGATTGCTTGTGCGGAAAAAGTCCCCAGAACATTTTCATACATACCTCACCAAAGTTATTATTTGTAAAAAAGAAAATTATATAAATCATTTATTATTTAGGTAGTGTAAACAGGATGAAATATGCTTCAAATTGAAGCTGTCACACAAGGAATCTCAAGTATTTTTTTAACTTAAGGATTTAATATGCTGAGTGGGAATGTACAATTGTGAGCCGTTAATCTTGGACCCATAAATGCCAAATTATCATGCAATGTTTAATATATATGGTGGGAGTCAGGCTTCAGAAGTTCACAAATATTTCTTTCCTGACCAACTTGAACATTCTAAGCTTTAGACAGATTTGGACATAACACAGTATTATCAACTTAAACACAAAAAAATAAAGTTCATATTAAAAGGTTAACAAAAGCTCTCACATAAGGGAAAAGAAATGAACAGAATACTTAAAACATACACAGCGGACTTGTATTTCCCAGTTTCATTACTAGTTTATCTGAGTCATGCAGTGGGTTTTCAACCTCTGGAGCTCCCGGCCTCAAATCTTAAAAATGAGCAGCAGGTGACATGTTATGTTCCTTTTCCTGATAAAAATTCCATGTGGTTAAAGTTAAGAATCATATAGAGGGCTCTCCTTGGTGGCGCAATAGGTAAACGCATAGCATTAAGACGATCTCCGAAGCCACTGCAGCAGGAGTTCGACCCACGGCCAGGGAGCTGACCCACATGGCGCAGCAGACCTCTCCTGACCTGCCCGCTGCTCCCCTCAGCATGTACTTTGTCAATCAGCCCATCCTGCTCCCCACTCTGTTTCTGGTGAATCTTCTCACCCACCACACCTCTGGCCTGTACCCCAGTTCTGTAAACACGAATATTTAAATCTTTTTTAAAAAATCATATAGATTTAAATATTTCTCAAGGTGATTACTTCAGATGACATGTTTGGGACTGAGAAGAGGTTGAGGACACATCTTAATTTACTATTTTATTGAATGTAGAAAAAGAGAAAACTTGCCATCAAAAGGAACAGTCAAACAATTAGACGTGGAAGATTAGAAGGAAGTGAAAATCTAATCCTTTTACCCAAAATATCAGTTGTCTGTGGCCTACTCAACCTGAAACACTTTTCATTTTCAAGTTTGCAGAAACTGCCCAAGAAATGTGCTGATGTTTATTAGAATGTTTACATCAGGTGCCAGATCTTTCAAAACAAAAGCTGGATTTTAAACTCAACACTAGAAGCAAGAAAATGAAATCGCCGCCAAACCGTATTTCTTTCCATACCCACAAGAGAAGATGACTCACCGTTCTATCGCTTCTTTTTTTTACTACAACCCAACCACTTTTTGTGTCGTCTTACTAGTGTCTCCTCCCCATGTGCCAATTTGCCGTTTCTTGACCAAAATAGAGTAATGGATTCTTCTCCGCCTCATTAAAAAATGGATTTTTAGGTTCTAGATTTTATATAGATTACTCCACCCAAGAGCAACTCTTTGTAGATGACTTCAGTGCCAATTCCAAGTTTAAAACATTTTACTAGCTCAGCCAAGATCAAAAGGGCAAATACCTATGTATGAGTTTTAAATTTCATGAGACATTGCCTGTGAAACATCCACATTTAAAAATTTAAAAATAAGACATTTTAAGCTTACGTCAAAATGTCAATTACTTTACATTTTTAATCTGGGAAAAATGAAGAGGTTCCTTGGGTGGGAGGGGAGAAGTGCTAGAATGATCCAGAAGTTCAGAAGCTACCTGTGCTTCTGCCGGCCTGGTCAGCTGACTCCGTTGACTCACCTGCACCGCCAGAGCCCTTTGCTCCGGGGTGAGCTACTCCGCCAGCCGGGCAAAGTAGCAGGACACCCTGGAGGCTCAGACTTGTCTCTAGCCTTTTCTTGTTTACGCCCAACGTCCAACCTTGAAATCACATTTCAAGTGGAAGCAAGGGAAGAAAGGAGGAAGCTGAGCAAATCTGCCGGCGGTTCCCTGGACATCACAACAGAAGCAGATTCCTTGCCAGGACTGTCTGGGTGACTAGTTCAGGAGTGGCAGGAAGGGCCAAGCGACAGGCTTCCTTAACTGTGGAAGTGGTGCTGGTAACAGCAGCTAACTCCCCGAGGCTTCTGGCGCTCTGGGCACCTCACAAGACCGTCAGCAAGGGTGCACCTCCCACTTCGTCCAGCAGTGCTACTGTAGTTAGACGGCAGGAGGAAGCCAGGGCACTCTGAGGTAAAGACCTCGCCCAGCTGGCAGCTGCCTGTACTAGAACAGGGCTCTGGCTCTCGAGCTTACGTCCTTGCCCATATCCGATGCTAAGCCACGCCCACCCACACCTAACTATGGTCTGTGTGAGGGTACAGCTAGCAGTTTACTTATTCCAGGGAAACCTAAGCCTAATTTGTATAAGCGAAAATAGCCAAAAAGGTGAACCAGCTCTGAGCTAACACCAGTGACCCAAACCTGCTTCGGACTTCAGAGCAGCGACTGGATTTTTCCTTCTCTTTTTAAACAAACCTGAGATGTTTGGGAGTTCACAAGGAAGAATTTTTCTAGAGCATTCCTCTATATTCCTCATATTGAAAATGAGGAAAATGAGGCCTAGAAGCCCAAGAAGTCATCAGTATCCCACAGCTAGTGAGCTGCTTCAACCACATGTGGGAGACAGCCTTTCTGCCCTCCCCGCCACCCCGGCCCCACACTGCTGGCAGAGGCACCAGCCCTGGGCTCCCAGGTAAGGTCCTTTGATTTCTTGCTCCTGGTTCAAACGACCATCACACATAAGCCATTTTACCTGGACTCAGACTTAATCTGGGAAGTGATACCTCTGGGAAATCCTTGGAAAATCTCCAAAGTAAATACTCTAAGTTTAGGGTTGTAATTCTCAACAACACCCAGCAGGACAAACAATAGTGGGATTTCCAGCAGAGGAGGTGTGAGGTCAGCTCCCTTCCCAGGGGACAGTCCCCAGGGGATTGCAGGGCGCTCAATAATTCATACACTTCATTCCTCGGCTTTTTCACGCCTGCTGCCAACTTTTCCCTTCCTTAATTCATTATAAACACAAACACAAGATTTATTTCCTGTGTCGTTTTAAAACTCCCTTGTCTTTTCAGAGGTCCTTACTGGCATCCATGTGCCTGCTGCAGCCCAGTCCTTCCCATGAGCCCCAAGTGATTTAATTCTTAAAATCTTTGTGAAGCACCTATTGGTAGTGAGTCCGTTCTGTGAAGGATTTGAGAGTGGGGGTGATTTAATACTTTACTGAGGAAACAGGTGATGTCTATAACCCCAAACTCAAATGTGTAATTTTTGACAGATTTTAGAATATGTTCTTATATTGGATTTTTTTCCTTCAAGTTTTCCTAAATGCTTTGTTGCCTAGGGCAGCTTTCTAGTAGATTCTTCCAAGGCTGTGGATAATATCAAGAGGTCAAACTTGCGAGCAATACACACACCAGCTTAGAATGCACTCAGACAGCTGGTGATGAGCATGAGAGCTGGCATGTCGGTAGCTCACCTTTGGGGAGGATGACCTGAGGCATGAGCTCCATTCTGGCCAAACTGATGGGGCCCCGGAGGTGGAGGGCCTGGTGGCAACATGCCCCCTGGGGCAGCAGGCCCCACAGGCCCTGCCGTCTTCATCATACCTGCAACAAAAGGCCAGGCATTTAGGAGAGTAAAACAGTGCAGATAGAGCGGAAGCAACAACAACCTCTTGAAAAGGCAAACTAGGAAGGGAGGAGGGGAAGCAGGGGTTAAGACAGCTCCTTCCCTAAACTTGCTTTAACCAGCAGAGACCTATCAATGTCAGGCCCCAGCACAGCTACTTGGCCATCATAGCTGACACCAGAAAAGGCAGAAATTAGTTTCAGACTACACAGAAACTGAAGTAGAAAAAGTTAACTTTGGCATAGGGTGAGACACTTCGATCAAACATACAGTCACACAGAGAAAGCTTGAATACACAATGAAACTTGCCAGTGGGAGACCAGAAAATAAATGGGGGTGGGGTGGCAGGAAGAACCAAGCAGTATGAGGCATGGTAGAACATCCTCGAGAAACAAAACAAAAGAAAACCCCTCAGAATATGCTTGGCATTACACCTTGAAGAAAGCAATCAAGAGAGTAGCATCAGTTGTGCGACTCGCCCAGAGCCAGACTTCAAAGCTGATCATGTCTCCAGGATTCCAAACCCTGAGTGATAAACACTTGAGGGACAGCTCTGCTGTGTTGTCAGACTCACTCAGACACAAAATGCATCCGGTGATCACTAGGCACTCCTGCACTGAATTTTCATCTGCTAGCAGCCTCTTCAACAGAGACTTTACTGTTTCTCTTCAGTACTGTTTACAGACCTTTTCTCTTTTCTTCTGAGTTAGAAAACATTGAGCTTGGGTTAGAGAAGTTCAAGGCCCCTCCCGGAAGCCTACTAGCAGGAGGACGGCCCAGGGCAAGGGGGCTATTTTTGGAAGGCCTCAGTTTCCCTTCCCTGACAAATGTGAGTTTGAAATTACAGAGACTTTTAAACAAACAAAACAAAATGTAAGAGGGCATTTCCACTTGCTTTCTTCACTTGCATCCTTGCTCTGTCCGTTCCACTTCCTTCTGACCCGCCCTCTTGGCACAGACTCAGTGACCTCCCAGCTGCCCCTCAGCTCTCCTCTGCTGACCTCATGATGGAGTTTCCACTCAATATCTCCTTTCTTCTTTTTGCTTCCTCTAGAACATTTACTCCCTCAGCTCAAAAGGGAACTGCCAAGATGACCTCGCAGTTGCCCATGAGGGTTTCTTAAAATGTCATTATAGCACTTTAGAGAGCATGCTTTCAGATGCCTGGGTAACCTAGAATTAAATAAAACCAGCAAGGTGGCAGTTTTCATGAATATTATTGTTGAGACTGTTATAAAGCTTTCTTCTATTCTTCTACTTCTATTCAAAGGAATTTCTTAACTTTAAGGTATTTTTCTATATTAACTTGACAGTAAGTGCTGTTCAGCAACTTTCATATACTGAGAACAAAACCAATATTATTCTTACAACAGTTTTATAGAAAGTTGTAAGCCCACCCCAAGCTCAGCAGGGTTAAAATAACACGAGACTTGCGGTCACCATAGCTTGGCTGGACTCCTGCCCTCCCACTGAACAGGTGTGGTCTAACAAGACATTTTTTCAGAAATTCAACTTTTAATACTCTGTCATGACATTAATGTTTCCCATCACTGAGGACTGTTCTAGAATTAAGTGATGCTATAAGAGTATCCAGAACATTGCCTGATGCATAAAGGTAAATCACTCCTCAAATCTGTTTCCCCTCCTCCGATCAAATCCCCTATCTCTCTTTTCTCAAAAAGAAAAGAGATTTCGAAAACAAAAAGGATTTCTTTTTGTTTCTAAAGATTTATTTATTTATACATACAGAAATGGGGTATAAGCCAGAAGATGTGCAGGGAGTGAGGGGATTCATCAGAGACAGAGTGGGGAGCAGAACAGACAGATCGATGAAGTACACTGCTGAGGGGAGCAGTGAGCGGGTCAGGAGAGGTCTGCTTTGCCATGTGGGTCACTTCCACTGCTGGGGATCAAATTTGCACTGAACCAGCTGAGGCTAGCTTGCAATGCTGCGCTTTAACTCACTGTCCCACCGGGTAGGGTCCATCTTTTCTCAAGGATTTCTACTCTGACAAAATATGTACACTGTGATTAGATGCACACTTGTGTTTTTACTTTTTTACGTTATTTTGGACAAAAATAGAAAATTCACAGCATTAACTCTAAAATAGTAAATAATCACATGCATTGAAATCAGGTAAAGATACTGTCATTTCTCCAGTAAATAGATAAAAAAAGTTTTTTTTACCAGTACCCCTCAACTATACCTAGCTAGGGAATTAAAAAAACAGAAAAGCCAGATTATCATATATATAAGCAGAGCTATTATACATTAAATATATGCACACTTCAATGCACTAAAATAGTCTTTCCCTTTCATATTTAGAAATGAAATCTATAGCAATGATTCAAACTTACTCGTAAGGCCTCAGAGGCACTAAGAACTCTTATGGAAGTGACAACCACATAAACAATGGTCGGGCCTGGTGATGACTGTAGTGACATACACAGGGAATATCAAGGTGTTCTGGGGGAACCAAGAAAAGCCCAAAGAGGAAAAACGGCTTGGGCTGAATCTTGAAGGGCAAGCAGGACTTTGCTAGTGCTGAGACCGGCAGGCAATCCCAGTCAAAGGCAGGGCCTGAGTAGAAAGAGAGTATTTGGTGTGGCGAGGAGCTGGCAAAAGGTTCAGCATGGAGAGACCGGGGAAGTGGCCAGAACAGAGGTTGTCCCAGTTGGTGGGGATCAGACTACAAAGTCCAATGTGCTCCTTGGACCCTATCCTGGGGGCAAAGGGAAGTCGGTCTCATGATTACCTGCAGAGTCACAGCCCCCCGCCCTCCCCCCAGCCCAGGGCTGCTACTCTCAAAGGTGATCAAAGATAAAGCGAAAGCAGGTTCTTCATAGAACAGTATGAGAATCTGAGCAGGAAAGGAGAGGCACCCACGCTCGTGCCAGAAGGAAAATACTGAGCCTCACAGACAGCTCTTTAATACATAGACCAGTTTACGCAGTACCAACTCCAATTCCTTTCCAGCTTGCCTTTCCATGTGATTCGGAGCTAGAAAGATGGAGTTTCCGTTCTGATTGTCCCCATGTGCTCTAAATTTGGCAAAGCAACATACCTCCAGGAGACTTTGACCAGGTTGGGAACAAAGAGGGTGGTTCTGGGGTGACACGCAGTGGCTGCTAGCAGAGCAGTCCAACATGGGGTGTGTGTTGTGAGGGACTGTGAGGGACCCTGCTCTTGGCTCTCTCCTACTTTCTCAAACACTCTGAGATTCCTGAGGACCCTGTAATAACTCCCTTTATGTGAGAGTAATGTTGACTAAAACCAAAAGTTAAAAAAAAATTGTGAAGTAAATATTTATCTTAAATGAACAAAGATGAGTTCCTGTTGAGAGCCTCTGGGCCAAACTGCCATGGCTCTCCTCCTGTGGCGCTGTGGCGGGTGGCGTAGCTACACAAGCTCCCCATTTTCTAGCCTCCCCAGGCCACAACCCTACCCTGGTTCCAGGGCATTGATACTTCCTGTCACTGAGCTTTTGGACTGGGGGTCCTCAACCGGGGGTGACCAGACCTCTGAAGGGAGAGTTGGTAATATCTAGGGCTTTTCTGGTTATTATGGCTTGGGGGCAGGGTGGAGACAGGGTAGTGGGATGGGGGCTGTTATCTAGTGGGCAGAGGTCAAGGATACAGCTGAGTGTCCTCTAATGGCAGCCCAGCCTGCCACAACATAGAACACATGGCCTCTAAAGCCCTGGAGCCAGGGTAGGGTTGAAGAGCTTGAGAGGAAACCCTGCTTCCAGGAACAAGGGGCTGCTCCTTTCCAGTGAGCAGGAGCGTGACTCACTTTCTGACGTGGAGGGTGATGCTAAATGCACATGAGAGGATGACCCTTCCCAGCGTACCACACTTCAGTGGCACCGTCTGCCCTTAGACTCCAGTCCAAATCAAGTGTGGCGTCCACCTGCCACGCCAGGCACAGCTCTCGCTGCACAAACGCTTGCTGCCCACCCCAGCAGCCACGCAGAATCTCTTGTGTCACCTACCAGTGCCAGCCCCCAACCCCCAGGCAAGGAACCTCCCTACGAGGCCAGGTCTCACTCATCTTTCAGGTCATTCATTCCCTCTCTTCCTGGTTAGGGGCCCCCATCTCCCCTCCACCTCCTCTACAGTAGAGCTTCCCCTGTATCGCCCTGCCATTTAATGCATGGCCTCCTAGAACAGTAGACACAGTAATGTCTACAGTTAGCTTTATTTTACTCACTGTTATGTCACAAGTATTCTGCTCACTCACACAGCAGGCACAGATGGAGATGTAGGTGTGAGAAGTAGAAGGGTTAGCACTGGCCTGACCTGTCACAGGACAGATACTTGAAGGAACCAGAAGTAGGTTGCCTGTGTCTATCAAAAAACCAGTGAAAAGACTAGAAAAGTCATTGAAAGATTAAGGGGTCCAACTTTATCCAGCACAGCCTTAAATAATTAAACAAGGTTCCTCCTGATGGCACAAAGGGTTAAAGCACAGCACTATGAAGCTATAGCAGCCATCCATTGCAGCTATCTATCAGAAGCTCGATCCCCGGCCAGGGGGGTGACCCACATGGTGTGGCAGACCTCTCTTGACCTGCCTGCTGCTCCCTTCAGCAGTGTTTCACTCGATCTGTCTGTTCTGCTCCCCACTCTCTCTCGAGAATCCTCTCACTCCCCGCACCTCTGGCCTGTACTTCAGTTCTGTATGCTTAAGTAAATAAATCTTTGGAAATTCTTTTTCAATTTTAAAAATAAATAACACCATCATTTACAGAAATGTATATTACAAAGAGCCAGCCTGCCTGGTATTCATCTGAGGACTGAAGGAAAGAGATTTGAATTAAAGCATGATGAATTGAATCCAACAAAGACAGTGCTTTTTTGGTTTCTTGGGTTTTTTTGGTTTTTTAATATATATTGGAACACACCGCACTGTTTGCTGATGAATGCAGAAGCTTGTCATTCACTCGTTCTTTGAATAGGAATTTAATGGGGGCCTCACTACTCCAGGATGCCTTGTCTAGCAACCGCGTGGCACATGGCAAGAGGCCTGCACAGGTGCAGAGCGTGAGGGGGAAGAGTGATCAGAAACACCTGCAAACAGCACCCTTGCGCTGGTTCTGAATTGACAACAGGAAGGCAGAGAATGGCTTTCTGGCATAAGGTGTGCAAATCAGGATGTAAGCGCAAAGAGGCCCTCAAGTGATGAATTGCAAATCCTCACTGAAAGAATGGGTATGGGAACGTGTCCAAGAAGCAAACAAACAAACAAACAAACAAAAACAGAAAAAGGAAATGGATAGGCCCTCCCTGGTGGCACAGCACTGCAACCTCACGGCAGCTGCTTCAGTATGAGTTCTATCCCCTGTCCCGGAGGTGACCCACATGACACAGCAGACCTCTCCTGTCTCACCTCAGCAGTGTATTTTGTCGATCTGCCTGTTCTGCTCCACAGTCTGTCTCTGGTGACTCCTCTCACCATTATTGCCTTCTGTACCCCAGTTTTGTATGCATAAATAAATAAATCTTTAAAAAAAGAAAACAAATGGATAAACTAAAGGTCTACAGAGCTTAAAACATAATCAGAGGCAAGGAAAACTATGAAACATTCTAAGAAAAAGAAAGTATCAAGATGAAATCTGCATGACATAAAAATCCCTTCATCCAGGGAGCAAGAGCTAGATGAAGAGAAGTATGATCAGAGAGACAGACAATGGCTAAGAGACCATTCTAGTACTCTAAGGTGCAGAGCTTGAACAAGAGTGAGAAGACAACAATAAGGAGGAAGCAGGTAGGAGAGATGTTTAAAGTCTCCCAAAAGAACTGGGGAACCAGCTGAGTAAGAAAAGGTAAAGGGAGAGATGTTGTTTAAGCAAACATTTCTAATTTGAATCACTAAATAAATGACAGTAAGTTATCATGTCAGGGAAAAAACAGGATGTTTGGAAAAGACATGGAGGTGTCATAGACATGCTAAGTGTAACATGCCTATGTGCACAGAAAGGCAACTGAAAATAAGTGTCTGGTGCCTAGGGAATACATCTAGGTGGAGACACAGATCTGGGCCACTTTGTGGGCAATCATGCAGCTTTGGGGAAAATCTATAGAGAGAGGAGAAAAGAAGTGGAACAAAGAAAGAGAAGCAGCTACCCTTAAGAGTCACATAGAAAAGAAAGCGACTTGGAAAGAGATAACCAGAAAGGCGACAAAGAACAGTGTCACTGCATTCAAAGAAGTGAGTTTTGTAAAAACAAAGCACAGAAGGACAGGGTCAGACGGGCTCATGAGAGGGCCTGGCAGGAGCAGGGAAAAGGGAGTGGGCCCAGGCCATGGAGGGAGACGACACTGGGCCATGGAGGGTCTGCCAGGCAAGGTTGGGAGCCAAGGAGTGAAGAAGGTCTTTCTTTAAGAACATGGCTGTGAAGGGAGCAAGGAAGGGCGAGTATTGCTGAGGGCTGCCCCCGGCATAAACTGGAGTTTCTTTCCTTGAGGGGTCTAGGTATATGAATTCTGACTGTATCACCAGCTCTGAGCATTGAACAAGCCATAGTATACAAGACATTCACATTCAGTTTTTTTTTTAACTGTAAACATGACTAATAAGAGGATTCAGTAGTACCTATAAAGGTTTTAGGACTGGTTTTTGAGTGATTTATACTGATCACTATATATAAATGCTGAGAAGGAATGAATTACTCCAAAGAGAAACTGCAGAAAGATGAATTAATGCTTTGTACAGAATTTACAAAGACAAGACTGCAAATGTTATGGGAGGAGAATGGGTTTTAGACAAGAGGAGGATGCCTCGAGGGGAGGTTTTCAAAAATTAGGGGTAGTGACCAGTGAGAATGGCACATCTTAAAACAACTAGCAACAACAAATGTTAGCAAGGATATGGAAAAAAAGGAACTCTCCTGCACTGCTGGTGAGAATGCAAACTAGTACAACCACTATGGAAAACTGTTTGGAGGTTCCTCAAACTGCTAAACATGGAGCTTCCCTACGACCCAACAATCCCACTCCTAGGTATCTACCCAAAAGACACAAAAACACTGATTGAAAAAGATACCTGCATCCCCATGTTTATTGCTGTTTTATTCACAATTGGAAAGACATGGAAACTGCCCAAATGCCCCAAAGTGGGTGACTGAAGAAGATATGGTACATATAGACAATGGAATATTATTCAACAACCAAAAATAAATAAATAAACACATGCAGTTTGCAGCAACATGGATGGAACTGGAAAAGATCATGCTTAGTGAAATAAGCTAGAAAGAAAAGGAAAAATACCAGATAGTTTCACTCATAGCAGGAATATAACGGAACAGGAGAGAAAATAATGATAATGATGAACAGTTATATACGAGACATTCTGTGGGGGTATAGTGAGGAATGGGATCAAAAACAATGTGGGGAGGGAAATGCACTGGACTATGGTGATGGGAAACCCACAGGGTGGGCTGGTGATGGGAAGCCCACAGGGATTGGTGATTTGGTGATGGGAAGCCCACAGGGATTGCAACTGAGATGGAAAAATGCACAAAATGATGTAAAAATAAACTATTATAATTTTTTAAAAAATTAGGAGTAGTGAAATTATATAGGTGACTTTACAGTGCACAGCTTCGGTGCACATTTTCAGGGACCTGTGGGAGGATGTCACCATCCAGCCCTGGTACAGCAACCTCACTGACTGCACTGCACGCAGGCTGCCAGCATAGCCTGGGCCCACCTGTCTGAGTCAGTCGTAGCAAACCCCAAAGATACTCAGTAATTTGTGTACAACTCATCGCCACCAAGAATTTTTGTTTAATTCCTCAGCATTCTCTCTGAAGCCTCAAGAACTGTCTTATACAAAATTTTCAGAACTTCACCTAAAGCAAACTATTACTAGCAGCATTCCTGACTTAGGGATGAAAAACAGTTGCTCAGCACAGCCCCTTGATAAAGAGAGGCAGCTTCATGGTGGCAAGTGCCATCAAAGCAACCTCCTTATTCCTTTCCACCCAGAAATCTGCCTGGTATGGTAAAGAAACTAGTAATGTTCAATAATGAGTTCAAGGTAAGACCATGTGTTTTTTTGTAATGATTCTTGAGTAATGCAATGATTATCATTTCTAAAATCACTTTACTGTGTGTGTGTGTGCGATAGTTTATTATATATATATATATATATATATATATATATACACACACACAGACACACACTTGATACATACATAAAATGTGTTACTGACTGAATGTTTCCAATAACCTGATACCACTGATTAGTAACAAGAACAAATCTCATAGTGAAAATAAAACTTCAAGAAACTTCTTTGTTTCAATCTATATTTAAAAACCAAACTTGTATTCTCTACAACCACCAAACTGATGATTGAGAGCCTTTTCCAAATGATCCTATAACCTCAGGACATTGCATCATATAGTGATCACTTAACATTCCCAACACTGCTCTTTTAGAGCATCTAATGTCTTAAGAGTCTAAGTTGGTCACTGTATAAAGCTCAAAATAATGCACTTTACCTGATGGAGCAGTATGAGATGGATCCCCGTAGTGCCCATAATGTGGAGGAGAAAGGCCTATTCCAGGCTGGGACTGAGAGTAAGGGGGTGTGGCCACATAACCTTGTTGACTCATTATGAAAATGTCATTCCAAGGGATAGAACCACAAAAGAATCCTGTAACAGAAGGAAATGAAGGTCAACAGGCGTTACTTAATGCTACTCAAAATATAAACAATTTTAATAAATGTTTAAGGATTTAAGGAAAGGCACAATTACTAGGTGCATGAAACATCTTCATATTCTACAATATGTCATATCACAGTCCCCTAAAAAGATTCCAGCCATAACTCTACTCAACTCAGGAACTCAATTCAATAGCCCTGGGCAAATTCTCAGACAAAATTGAAATAACACTCGCCAACCACTTCAACAATGAATGAATGATGTAGTTCCCATATAGTCTCTCAGAGTGGGTCTACTGCTTCTGTGCCTTTGGTTTCCATGGCCCCAGTTGAGCATACAGCACTCCAGTGCCAGTCACTGCATGTCGTTCTATGCACTGGCCAGCACAACTGCCAGTGAGTGATCTGCAATCAGGTATTTTATGGCCTGTGTCATTATAGTGGCATTCTAATTAGTCGTTTTAATCTGGCTGTTATGACAAAGAAAAATCAATAGTCCAACAGACAGGCCAGAAGATAAGTAAGGTGATGGCAGATTCATTTTAGACATCAGTATAAATTGACCAGGCAAGGCAGTAGCCTACAAACACTGGAAAGCTGATCGGTGGCTCAGTCAGAGATGACAGGTAGTTAGAGTGAAACATCACACTTGCAAGAACATATTCACACACATTTAGGTAATTAAGAAAAAAAAGTAGAGTTCAAATTTGTTGGCACACATGCACACAAAGGAAACAACTCTCTTGATTCTCTACCCGGACTCTAAACATCAATTTGCTTTAAATTTTCCATTTTTTCCAGACAGTGTATAGTAAGTACTATTGTTGAAACATTTAATACAAGACAGAAAAGTGGGCCAGAAAAGTGGGTTTTTCACTTTAAATCTGCCAATACTTAGCTGTGTGACCTGCAATAAACTGAAAAACCTCTCTGGGCTTATGTTCCCCCTTACCAAATAAAGCCTCCAAATGCCAGTTTCTTCACCCAGCATAGAAATATTCATTTAATTTTATAATGCTATCTGTGATACCTGCTAAGATCTGAAATAACTCTATATTTAGGAAATGACATACTCTCTTGGTTTGGTTTTTATATTAAACGGTAAGTTTCAAAAATTAAAGCCACTACGTAAAAATATCATAAGATCACTTTCTTCTCCTTGGGAGGTGAGAACTAAAATAGAGAGCCAGGCAAAAGCCTGCTGGTGAGCTTTGTTTTTGACAATATTCTTTCCCTCCTCCCACTTAGCAGAGAGAGACGTGGCAGCCTGAGCTTTGGTCAAGCTCATCCAACCAAGCACACTTAGGAAGTCAGCAGGAACACACCTACGTAGCAGCCTGTTGCTGAGTGACAGAAAGGAAAGGCAGGGATGTTCACGCCAAAGAGCAGGAAGCAGTTGGGTCCTCTTCTCTGGTCCTTGGGAGCAATCTGCTTCCTCAAACAACCCAGTTTGCCACGTCAAACTTCCTCACACTGTGCACCAAGTTACAGAAACCTGACTCAGCTCAAGCGGCGACATGGCAGAAAGCCACTTGGCATGAGCAGGCCTGGGATCCCAATCTGGGGAGCTCCAATCCCGGCAGAACCCCCTAGACGGCTGTCATTCCACAGTTCCCGCCTAGGTGCACTTACCACCCTGGACACCAAGCTTAGGTTTGCACAAATGCATTTCACTAAAGGATGCCCCGAAGCTTGAAGATACAGTTGCCATTTTTAATCACGAATGTTTCCAACATTCCCTTCCTCCAGCAAAAAGGAAATTAAGTTGATGAGGACACGAGAAAACCGCTGGCAGTGACCCTGGAATACTCCAGCCAGGCAGTGCCGGCATCCCAAGTCACAAAGATGGGGGCGGGTAAAAATGCCCACGCCTACCCTCCAGACCCCATTACTAAACTGCACGGAAGTGGCTGGAGGAGCAGAGTAAAAGGTGTCCCCTGCCGCCCCTGCCACAGGTGAGCATCCCGCTTCCCGCCGCCGACCCGATCTCGGGCCAGGCACCGCAGCCCGTTCACGCCGTACCCGGGAAGGGGGCTGTCCCGCCAGAGCGGAGCCGGACCGGCCGAGGCTTTACCTGGTCGTCTTCACGCCGCGGAGCTTTCGGGAGCCTGCGCTGGGCTCCAAGCGCCGTTGCCCCCGGTAACTGAGCTCCCGTCGCGGCTGCCGCTCCCGCCGCGCCTTTCCCCGGGCCCCGCGTCCCCGCGGGCTGGTCTCGCGCACCGAATCGCAGCTGGGCTGGGAACTGCCACGTCAAACCCTCTCCCGGCCGCGCGCCCCCGCCGCCGGCGC